GTGGTGTGCTGTGATGGGTTTGATCTTTATTCCAGGTGGAATACTGGGATAGCTGAAGGCTATCGGCTGATTTTAGCTAGTTAGTAATTGTTAGGTTGGGATTTTTCAAGTTATTTGTTACTATATCAAGACAGGTATAGGATGTTTTGTCTTCCAGGTAGTTGGAAGGGTACGGGGCTGCACCCAAGTGGACAGTCAGGATTATAGGGACGGTCTCTGTCCTTATGTTTTATGTATTATTACTGTTGTGTTGATAGGTATAAATACATGCTGGGGCGCACCTTTTGGGGGGTGCCATTATTGTTGTTGGAGTATTGTATGGAATTAATTAGGATTAGATAATTTCTTTTGTTTTGAGGCATTGGGTTAATATAGTGTTGGGTTAAAAATGTTGTTTTTGGAGTTAATGGTTATGGTAGGGCAGGATTTCCGGATAAGAAAAGTGTGTGTAACTTGCTTTACACACAAATTTCTTAATTTCCGAGGAGGGGGAGTTGTAATGATCTGGGGCTAAGATCATTAGTTCTCCCTTCTCCCCTCCTTCCATTCTCCTTCTCCCCTCCTTTCCTTCTCCCTCTCCCCTCCCTTCCTTCTCCCTCTCCCCTCCCCTTGGCCGCCATTCGTCTCCTCCTCTCCCCCCCCCTGTCGCCCATTTGTCAGGGTCAAGAGGTTGACCTGAGGGTGGTCTTGGATACCTTTGGCTTCCCCCACTTAACTACCCCACTCAGATTTTCCCCTCTCCATCCCCCTCTCATTCCCTCTCTTTCCCTCTCAGCAGCGGTCCCTTCCCCATACGAGGCAGAGTCAAATGTCCCTACTCTTTATCTTGCAGGAGACAGGCTTGAACATAATTTATCAGTTTTGTAAACATTGCTCGCAGGTGCACTGGGGCTCCATAGAGGCGCCTTGTCTCCCTTCTCATAGCTGGGGAGAGCTGACTCAATCTTCAGGAATTCATGTAGCTTTTCACGGCAGATCAGTGAAGGTGATTGGCCTGAGATAAGGGCCAAGTCCTTATTGGCCCTAGAGAGCCAGACCTCAGGCCTAAGTGTTAAATGGTTGGCCATTGCCAAAATAATGGGTGGAGCCCTGGGGCTGTATTAGATGGTGGGAGGAGTAATCCTTCCCAGCAATAAGTTGGTAAAACAAAATTTGATCAGTGTGTCTTGGGAGTGTATTGGAAAAAGGGCAGCAAGCCCGTATCCTCGGGGCTGAGGGCAGCCATCAACATCTTGGCCGTAGTGCGGGTATTTAAGGTATAGTGCACTTGTGTTCGTGTCCTCAGTAAATATCCATTGTGCCTCTAGGGGAATAGAATAGGGTATATGTTCAAATTGTCTTAATTTACATATTTCATAAAATAAATTGTATAACTTGTCCAGTGGTATTCACTTAACTCCCCTTTGACATATTTTGCTACTTGGTCATTTTTAGGGGTTGAATTGGAAACCCCCATGTTCTCCTACAGTTAATAGATACTAAAGTTGCCCTTGGATTCAAATAAGTAACGTAAATTAAACAAACTAATATTCCCAAAAATTTAATATTGAAATTCATACCACTCTGGGAGTCCCATGATTACTGATTCCTTGTCTTCCTGGGGGATCGGTGATAGACACATTCAGGTATGGTTAGTCGGGAAGGTGGTGGCAGTGTTTAATGAGTTTTGTTATTGTTGACCAGATCACACACTAGAAGTTGAATTCTCAATCGACTTGAAATGGTCCAGGACGGACCGAAACGTCGTCGTCCCTTCAACTTCTAGTGTGTAGTCTGGTTAACATACTTCAGCCACGTTATTGTGACTCATCGCCTGCATATGAGTTTTGTTATTGTTTTTTGTTAACTAATAACCCTTGTCCTTGCTGTATCTTCCTCATTTAATATTCCTCTTATATACGTGGCAGTCCAGTGAGGGGTCATACTGGACTGTAACAGTGTTGAGCTGGGGTATTGAGTGAAGGGAGAAAGAGATTTACAACACGGAGCGTGCAGAACGATTACGTGAGATCACAAGATAACAGGATTAATACTGGGGAACATTGGGTTATTACAATAGAGGCCGCGGTTATTATAACAGGGTAAAGCGGTTATTACAGGTGGGTGAGGGCCAGGATGGATGGGTGGGGGTCAGAATGGGTGGGGGGGGGCCAGGATGGATGGGTGGGGGTCAGGATGGGTGGGGGGGGGCCAGGATGGGTGGGTGGGGGCCAGGATGGGTGGGTGGGGGCCAGGATGGATGGGTGGGGGTCAGGATGGGTGGGGGGGGGGCCAGGATGGGTGGGTGGGGGCCAGGATGGGTGGGTGGGGGCCAGGATGGGTGGGTGGGGGGCAGGATGGGTGGGTGGGGGGCCAGGATGGGTGGGAGGGGGGCCAGGATGGGTGGGTGGGGGCCGGATGGGTGGGTGAGGGGCAGGATGGGTGGGTGAGGGGCAGGATGGGTGGGTGAAGGGCCAGGATGGGTGGGTGGGGGCCAGGATGGGAGGGTGGGTGGGGGGCCAGGATGGGTGGGTGGGGGCCCAGGATGGTTAGGTGGGGGCCAGGATGGGTGGGTGGAGGCCAGGATGGGTGGGTGGGGGGGCCAGGAAGGGTGGGTGAGGGGCAGGATGGGTGGGTTGGGGGCCAGGATGGGTGGGTGGGGGCCAGGATGGGTGGGTGAGGGCCAGGATGGGTGGGTGGGGGCCAGGATGGGGGTGAGGCCAGGATGGGTGGGTGGGGGCCAGGATGGGTGGATTGAGGCCAGGATGGGTAGGTGGGGGCCAGGATGGGTGGGTGAGGGCCAGGATGGGTGGATTGAGGCCAGGATGGGTAGGTGGGGGCCAGGATGGGTGGGTGAGGGCCAGGATGGGTGGGAGGGGCCAGGATGGGTGGGTGCGGGGCCAGGATGGGTGGGTGGGGGCCAGGATGGGTGGGTGGGGGCCAGGATGGGTGGGTGGGGGCCAGGATGGGTGGGTGGGGGCCAGGATGGGTGGGTGGGGGCCAGGATGGGTGGGTGGGGGCCAGGATGGGGGTGGGTGAGGGCCAGGATGGGTGGGTGGGGGCCAGGATGGGTGGGTGGGGGCCAGGATGGGTGGGTGGGGGCCAGGATGGGTGGGTGGGGGCCAGGATGGGTGGGTGGGGGCCAGGATGGGTGGGTGGGGGCCAGGATGGGTGGGTGGGGGCCAGGATGGGTGGGTGGGGGGTGGGTGGGGGGGCCAGGATGGGTGGGTGGGGGCCAGGATGGGTGGGTGGGGGCCCAGGAGGGTGGGGGCCAGGATGGGTGGGTGGGGGCCCAGGATGGGTGGGTGGGGGCCAGGATGGGTGGGTGGGGGGCCAGGAAGGGTGGGTGGGGGCACGGGTGGGGGGGGCCAGGAAGGGTGGGTGAGGGGCAGGATGGGTGGGTTGGGGGCCAGGAGGATGGGTGGGGGCCAGGGGTGGGGGCCCAGGATGGGTAGGTGGGGGCCAGGATGGGTGGGTGGGGGGCCAGGATGGGTGGGTGGGGGCCAGGATGGGTGGGTGGGGGGCAGGATGGGTGGGTGAGGGCCAGGATGGGTGGGTGAGGGCCAGGATGGGTGGGTGGAGGCCAGGATGGGTGGGTGGGGGCCAGGATGGGTGGGTGGGGGCCAGGATGGGTGGGTGGGGGCCAGGATGGGTGGGTGGGGGGCCAGGATGGGTGGGTGAAGGGCCAGGATGGGTGGGGGTGGGGGGCCAGGATGGGTGGGTGGGGGCCAGGATGGGTGGGTGGGGGCCAGGATGGGTGGGTGGGGGCCAGGATGGGTGGGTCAGGATGGGTGGGTGGAGGCCAGGATGGGTGGGGAGCCAGGATGGGTGGGTGGGGGCCAGGATGGGTGGGTGGGGGGCCAGAATGGGTGGGTGGGGGGCCAGAATAGGTGGGTGGGGGGCCAGGATAGGTGGGTGGGGGCCAGGATGGGTGGGTGAGGGCCAGGATGGGTGGGAGGGGGGCTAGGATGGGTGGGTGAAGGGCAGAATGGGTGGGTGGGGGGCCAGAATGGGTGGGTGGGGGGCCAGAATGAGTGGGTGAGGGGCCAGGATGGGTGGGGGACCAGGATGGGTGGGTGGGGGCCAGGATCGGTGAGTGAGGGGGCCAGAATGGGTGGGTGAGGGCCAGAATGGGTGGGTGGGGGCCAGGATGGGTGGATGGGGGCCAGGATGGGTGGGTGAAGGGCCAGGATGGGTGGGTGGGGGCCAGGATGGGAGGGTGGGCCAGGGGGCCAAGATGGGTGGGTGGGGGCCCAGGATGGGTGGGTGGGGGCCGGATGGGTGGGTGAGGGGCAGGATGGGTGGGTGAAGGGCCAGGATGGGTGGGTGGGGGCCAGGATGGGAGGGTGGGTGGGGGGCCAGGATGGGTGGGTGGGGGCCCAGGATGGGTGGGTGGAGGCCAGGATGGGTGGGTGAGGGGCCAGGATGGGTGGGTGGGAGGCCAGGATGGGTGGGTGGGGGCCCAGGATGGGTGGGTGGGAGGCCAGGATGGGTGGGTGAGGGGCCAGGATGGGTGGGTGGGGGCCCAGGATGGGTGGGTGGCGGCCAGGGTGGGTGGGAGTCCAGGATGGGTGGGTGGGGGCCAGGATGGGTGGGTGGCAGGCCGGGGTGGCCGGCCAGCCTGGGTGGCAGGCTAACCTGGGTGGCAGGCCGGGGTGGCAGGCCGGAGTGGCAGGTCTGGGTGGCAGGCCGGGGTGGCACGTCTGGGTGGCAGGCTAGCCTGGGTGGCAGGCCAGCCGGGGTGGCAGGCCAGGGTGGGTGGCAGGCCTGGGTGGCAAGCCGGGGTGGCAGGTCTGGATGGCAGGCCGGGGTGGCAAGTCGGGGTGGCAGGTCTAGGTGGCAGGCTGGGGTGGCAGGCTGGGGTGGCAGGCCAACCTGGGTAGCAGGCCAGCCTGGGTGGCAGGCCTGGGTGGCAGGCCAGCTGAGGTAAACACAACACAGCCACAACAACAACAACACCCCCCCCCCCACCAAGAGTCCCAGCTGACTGGGAGCCCGCAGGAGCCCGCCAGTGTGTCTGTGACCGTGGTGAAGAGAGGACGGCTGTTGCCGCGCTCGCTCAATTCCCGCGCCATAACAATGCCTGTGTTCTCTAAGGATTGGAGAGACCCGGGTGATAAGTGGGTGAAGACGGATGGCGGGTGGGAGAAGGAGAAGGTGGTGTGTTGCAACCCGCTGGCCCACATGGTGGTCAGGTGGGTGACCAGACACATGTAAACATCTTTGTTCCCTCCTGATCAGCTGATCAGCCCGCAGGAAACAGCTGACAATTACGCGGGAGCTGGTGGAGGCGTGGATGACAGCCGTGCTGGGGTGACGGGTGAGGTGCTGGGGTGTGTGAGGGTGTTGGTGATGGGTGACAGCCGTCACAAGCCGTCCTGGGGTGACGGGTGAGGGGCTGGAGTGTGTGAGGATGTTGGTGATGGATGACAGCCGTCCTGGGGTGACGGGTGAGGGGCTGGTGTGTGTGAGGGTGTTGGTGATGGATGACAGCCGTGCTGGGGTGACGGGTGAGGGGCTGGGGTGTGTGAGGGTGGTGGTGATGGATGACAGCCGTCCTGGGGTGACGGGTGAGGGGCTGGAGTGTGTGAGGGTGTTGGTGATGGATGACAGCCGTCCTGGGGTGACGGGTGAGGGGCTGGAGTGTGTGAGGGTGTTGGTGATGGATGACAGCCGTCCTGGGGTGACGGGTGAGGGGCTGGTGTGTGTGGGGATGGATGATAGCCGTCCTGGGGTGACGGGTGAGGGGCTGGTGTGTGTGAGGGTGTTGGGGATGGATGACAGCCGTGCTGGGGTGACGGGTGAGGGGCTGGGGTGTGTGAGGGTGTTGGAGATGGATGGCAGCCGTCCTGGGGTGACGAGTGAGGGGCTGGGGTGTGTGAGGGTGTGGGGATGGATGACAGCCGTCCTGGGGTGACGGGTGAGGGGCTGGGGTGTGTGAGGGTGGGTGTGGAGGGGGGGATGGATGACAGCCGTGCTGGGGTGACGGGTGAGGGGCTGGGGTGGGTGAGGGTGTGGGGATGGATGACAACCGTGCTGGGGTGACGGGTGAGGGGCTGGGGTGTGTGAGGGTGGGTGTGGAGGGGGGGATGGATGACAGCCGTGCTGGGGTGACGGGTGAGGGGCTGGGGTGGGTGTGGAGGTGGTGATGGATGACAGCCGTCCTGGGGTGACGGGTGAGGGGCTGGGGTGTGTGAGGGTGGGTGTGGAGGGGGTGATGGATGACAGCCGTGCTGGGGTGACGGGCTGGGGTGTGTGAGGGGGGCCCCAAAGTGGACCCCTGTGGCACCCCACTTACCACATTTCTCCAAATCAGATTCATGCAGCTTCGCAGCGACGGTCTGGCGTCATGCAGGTCAGCGTTCAATCCCCGACCATCCAAGCGGTTGGGCACCATTCCTTCCCCCCGTCCCATCCACAAGTCCTTATCATGACCCGTTCCAAGTGGTATATATATAGTCGTAATGGGTCGCCGCTTTACCCTGATAGTTCCATTCTTTTCCCATTTAGCAGGAAATCTTGTTTTCTTTGGTTTAATCATTGTTTGATCCATTATAGTATTTTCTCATATTTTCCACCTGCCTCTAATTTTCTTGTCAGTCTCTCATGTGATATCTTCTTCTTCTTGAGGTTCTCTTGAGATGGTTTCGGGGCTTAGCGTCCCCGCGGCCCGGTCCTCGATCAGGCCTCCTTTTTGTTACACACCCCAAGAGAGCAGCCCGTAGCAGCTGTCTAACTCCCAGGTACCTATTTACTGCTTGGTAGTATCTTACCTTGAGGTGAAGTTGAGGCGTTTTCGGGGCTTAGCGTCCCCGCGGCCCGGTCGTCGACCAGGCCTCCTCGTTGCTGGACTGGTCAACCAGGCTGTTGGACGCGGCTGCTAACTTACTTTGTTAAATGAATTGTGGGAGCTCAGTCCCTGAGGCCATTATGTGCATTACCCTTTCCATTAACGCTCACAGGATGGGTATGGGGTGCATAAAGCAACAGCCTGGTGGACCAAACTCTCACACGAGTCCAGGCTTGGGAAGTAGAAGAACTCCCAGAACCCCATCAAGCAGATATATATGTGGGCCTGCGGGCCGCTCCAAGCAACAGCCTGGTGGACCAAACCACATATACCTGCTTGATGGGGTTCTGGGAGTTCTTCTACTCCACAAGTCCGGCCCGAGGCCAGGCTTGACTTGTGAGAGTTTGGTCCACCAGGCTGTTGCTTGGAGCGGCCCGCAGGCCCACCACAGCCCAGTTGGTCCTGCTTAGGATCCTCTCCATGAGCTACAGATGTGTGATGGCAAGTTGACTGGATGGTAGTTTTCTGCCTTGCTCGACAATGTGGATAATATTGGCATATCTCCAGTCTTGGGAACTATCCCTTGGTTCTGGGACTTTCAGAAAGGGAGTGTCAGTGGGATGCATAGTGCAGTTGTCAGTTCCTCTACGAGTTTGGGTTGTAATCCATCCACACCTGAGTCTTTTGAGTCTTTGATTTTGTCAGTGTTCTTCCTGATTGTGTCGTCTGTTATGGGTATATTCCTTAGTTCATTCTCTTCACCTCCTTCCAACATTTGTGTGGGTGATGGGATGTTGTCCAATCTTTCTAGTGTGAACACTGATGTAAAGTAGTCATTCACAGTGTTTGCTGCCCCTACACAGTCCTTTGTTTGGGTCTTACTACGGATTTATGCATACAATGATTTTGGATAGTCCTTTATGGACTATCCAAAATCGGCCCTTGTGGATTTGTTCATTTGATGCATCACTCTATTGTGGTTTCTGTGTATAATGAAGTAAGGACGAAGAGGTAGAACGGCCTATTGACATAGCTCGAGTGCATGGGGGGAGTTGTGTAAAACCCTGGTTTGTGTCTCGGAGAGGTTATCTTGAGATGATTTCGGGGCTTTTTAGTGTCCCCGCGGCCCGGTCCTCGACCAGGCCTCCACCCCCAGGAAGCAGCCCGTGACAGCTGACTAACACCCAGGTACCTATTTTACTGCTAGGTAACAGGGACATAGGGTGAAAGAAACTCTGCCCATTGTTTCTCGCCGGCGCCTGGGATCGAACCCAGGACCACAAGTCCAGTGTGCTGTCCGCTCGGCCAACCGACTCCCAGGCTGCAGGATCCAAGTAACTTAGGTACAACTTCTGGTTTCAACTCTTTTTTTTTTTACCATGTCGTAGCTCAGTCGATTAAGGCAGCGTCTGGGATGCTCTCGGACGTAGGTTCGAATCCTCGTCACGGCTCTTGTGGATTTGTTCATTTGATACATCACACTATTGTGATTTCTATGTGTAATAGTCCTTTATGTTTTGGCCAAGTTTTCTTTCCTAGTTCCTTCTGGCTGATCTGATTTCCTGGGTGGCTGAATTGAATGACCTTTTATATAATCTCTGACAAACATAATCTAATATATTGATGGTCCAGGACGGACCGAAACGTCGTCGTCCCTTCACTTTCTAGTGTGTGGTTTGGTCAACATATCTGTCACGTTATTGTGACTCCTCGTCTGCATCATCTAATATAATATTAGAAACATAATCTATGATGATCATTTTGGATTTATACAGCCTCCAGAGGCTGGGTATAAATACCCTTATTAATACCTTGTTCTTACTACTTGTCATCCATCTAGGTTCCCTTTCTTCTCTTTCTCCTTTGAGGCAGATGTAGATGACTTATACGAGGGGATTTTAGCTGTAAAGCATCAGTGTACGCTCTCTGGGTTAGTACGTTCTCCAGCTCTGAGTGGGGGCTGTTAGTGTGCAACAATAGTCCACCCTAGAGAGCACTAGCGTCTTTAAAAGTATCACTGGTATGGCGTCCCTTGTTTGGAAGGTCCTTGTTAATCCAACCTGTCATTTGTTTTGCAGTTTGACAATTACTTTGTGTTCATTGAAGGTAAGGTCTTCCGACATGATTACTCCTAGATCCTGTACATTGCTCTTTCGCTCTATGGTGTGATTTGATTCAGTTTTATATATGGTTTCCGTTTTATATTTTCGTTTTTTTCCATAACACAGGAGCTGGAAACTTGTTTTCATTAAACATCATGTTATTATCTGGGACCAATTGAAAGACCCAATTTACATCAGATTGGAATGTTGACCAGACTTGAGAATGGTCCAGGACGGACCGAAACGTCGTTGTTCCTTCACCTTCTAGTGTGTGGTCTGGTCAACATTCTTCAGCCACGTTATTGTGACTCATCGCCTGCATCAGATTAGAAGTTTACTATATTGCCTGCTTGCATGAGAATGTTAGCGTCATCTGTAAATGATGGTACAGTACTGTAGTTTGTATCCTTGTCTATGTCAGATACCAGTTAGAATTGGTAGCTCTTTTTCAAAGACTTTTATGATGTGTGAAGTTAGAGCAATTGGTCCAAAATTGTTTGTATGTGATTTACTGTCTCCTTCATGAAGGTACACGATCTCCGCTGTTTTAAATGTGTCGGGGATCTTATTCTTCTTGAGGTTATCTTGAGATGATTTCGGGGCTTAGCGTCCCCGCGGCCCGGTCCTCGACTAGGCCTCCTTTTTGTTACACATCCCCAGGAAGCAGTCCACGTACTACAAATACAAATAAACGCCAACAGAACCTAAACACCTAACCTAATCTATGCCTATATATGCACAATATGCTATTATAATATTCATATATATTTGAGAAAAATCCTGTTTTTGAATGAACAGCATGTTAAAATGTATGAATGCGTCTGTGGGGTCGACCGCTGGATGTAATGGACTCGAGTCGCGGACGGGTTAGAGTCGCGTGTAAACCGTTTTTCATTCATAAACAACTGGGGGTGGGGGGGGGGGTTGGCGGGTGCATGTAATGGACTTTGCCCTTTGTTTATGAGTACTGCCTGTCTCTTCCGCCTTACTCACGCTTCCTCATAGAACTTAGTGAGGATACAAAGCCAGTTTAGACCAGCGCCCGCCTGCATGAGCCACTACAGATCTGTTTTAACTGTGATGAGCTACTGATCTCAGTTTGTTTACATAGGCACATGCCTCATGGATATTTGTTTACAGATCTTCAATAAAGTGAATCAGCGATGGAGAACGATACCAAATTTGGTGTTTTGTTGTGTAGTAGCGTGGCGCGATTATTGATCTCTGGCGGCGGCGGGAGGTACTGTTCGTCTCCCAGGGCAACGGGGACGCTACTGGCCCGCCAGCTGTGTGTGACTGAGTC